AGATGCAACCAATTAGGAGGGGTTCATCTCACAGCATGCTCAGTTTTTTCATAAGCCTCAGTGCCCAATTTGTGCCTTCATAGGAGCCCAGGCGGAGGCTGCAGGCTGACTTAGAGATGACTAATATTTGTTCATTTTTCCCTGTTTCTAAGATCCTGGAGAGCTTCAGAATACAGATGAAGGCCCCGCTGTCAAGCAACTGTTTTATTCTTACCCCTACAATCCCATGAGTCAACAAAGGGACTCAAAGATGGTCCAGTAAAAAGTCAAAGTATTGTCTCAGTTCTCTACCCTAAGTTCCAGATGGACATTGGTGGACACTGACCATTGGCAGATGAGAACTGTGGAATAGAAGAGCAACACTAAGCCAAAAAACCACATCACCTTTCTTGAGGAATTTACTGTGTACAAGTACTCCACACAGACCTGCCAAGCAGACCACATGCCCAAAGGCTCAGGTTTAAATCATCCCATGATACCGGCCCTCTCTTAAAACCTAGAGCCTATTTCCTTGCTGAAGTCATACCCCACTCCCAGTCAGATGAATTTTCAGCTCTTCTCCCACATACCTGCCCCACAGGCTGGAACTTGGATTACACAAACACTTGAATTCACTACTCTAAATACTGCAATTTGTGTCCTGTCTGCTGACCTTTGCCTCTCTGCATTTGACATGTTTTGATTCTGTAGGGTTGTGGGTTTTGTTTCATCAACAAGGTGACTATGTAGTTAATTACCCTTTGACTTTTGGGGTCAGAGCCTCCATCCGGACAGGAAACATTCATGGCTCCAGAAGTTTCGGGCATCTTGGCTTTAACTGTCATTGTCAATTTCTCACCCATTCACTACCCCCATCTCTCTGCAGTGTCAGGATTTCTGTGTGCCATGGAGGAAATTCCAGAGGCTAAATGGGGCCACTAAATTGTTGCTAGTGTTGTTGAGCTGTGTCATCCACCAAGTTTCATTAGCTCCCTGGTTTCATCAGACTATAGTTATGCCAGGGACCAGAACTCTGATGGTAGAGGTCTCTCTCCGAGGAAGAAGCTTGAGCCTATTTACTGGTTAAGGTTCACAGAGGTAGAATACTTTCTTACCTGATCCTCTCAGCTTCTGTGCAGTGGTCCAAGCCAGTTTTGATATCCCACTTGGTCTCATCTCAAGCAACTGATTTTCTTTGTGAAACATTTTTCTTTTGTCAACTAAGCACCAGTGTCACAAAGACATTAAACTTGAAAATTTGTGAAAAGCCAGTTAAGTTCTACAAGGTCCCGAGTTAAGGGAACATCTAAGATCTGAACTGACCTCTACCCATCATAGGGGAAGATTAGAAGAATGGTGATGCACATACAACAGGTGCTGAACAGAGTAAAGGATGCTTCAAGAGAGCCAGGGGGCTCTTCCCACCTGTGCTCTGCATTGTGGTCAAAGATACAGAAACAAGAGGGAAGAACTTTGTTCTGTTTAGAATACTGGTGATCCATGAGGGCAGCAAACACAGTGGTTCATCAAAGCTGGAGGCATAGTACATGACAGGAGGAAAGAAACAACTACAGAGGGAAGAAAAAGATGGGACTAACAAAGAGACCTTGGATTCCATTGGATAAGAATAGATGATAAAACAGGGTCAGATGAAAGGGGAGGAGGTCCTCCCCTATCAGTGGACTTGGAAAGGGGCAGGGAGGAGATGAGGGAGGGTGGGTAGGATTGGGGAGGGAAAGAGGGAGTGGGATACAGCTGGGATACAGAGTTAACAAAATGTAACTAATAAGAAAAATAAAATATAATAATAAATAAAATAATGGGTTACAGATAAAAAAGAATATAATGCAGGGAAACACACTCATTTAACATCCCCTGTGGCATAGTTAATCCAACCCTAGTTCTGAATCAGAGTTATTTTAGTTTGATGCTTGAGAATGAGTAAAATATATTTTGATCAATCTGCCCCCTCTCCTTCCCCTCTAACTCCTCACATTACTCTTTCTACCACCATTCCCTGCCAATTTTGTGTACTAATTTTAAAACCGATTGAATCTCTTCAGTGCAGCCAGTATGTATATGGGTGTAAAGCCATTCACTGGGACATGGACAGCCTATGAGAGTATACATCTCAAGAAAATCAACTCTCTCCCTCTTCCTCCCCCTCCCTCTTCTTCCTCTCTTCAGCAGCCATCTGTTGTCATTGATGAGTGATGCTTGGGGTTGAAAGTCTTGGTGCCACTCAGTGGTGATGTGCAGTTTGGGTAGCAGTAGTCCTAGCCCAGTTAGGGCAAGGTGTGGCTTCTGATCACACAAATGAATCCTCCATCAGGCTAGCAGGCTCTTGCTTCAGTTAGTCAGAAGTCAAGTGCCAGAGAGCCTGAAGTGAGGGTTATCAGTGGGGTGTACAAACAGCACAGACTGTCCTTTGACAGGGTTAGAATCCCAGCAGGTAGAGGGAGTAAAGGGTTCCCTGGGAGTGCAGAAGGGGCTCTGGTCCAAGGCATCAAATTGCTTGAGATCACAGGTGGTTGCACAGTTATTCTTGCAGAACATGTCCACAGCTCAGTCAGGGTGAACAGTACTCACAGTCTACAATGTTCAAAGGCTACTTTCCCCTTCATTGTCTTCAAGATACACTTCAAAAAATTGCTCAGTACATAGCCCTGGGTGTTAGCTGGTGCTGTATTGTGTGGTGTGAAATGAGTTGAGGAAGGGCATGGACTGAGGCTGATATATTTGATAATGCTCTTCCTTTTTATTGTAAAATGCATTTGGGAATAGGAATGATTATGCTTGGTGCCACAGAAACTCACGAATATGCAGCTATAAATCTGTGTACATATAATGTTTCATTATATATAAGCCACGCCTTGTCCTGTGTACGTGAGAATGAGCACATTTGGAAGTTACAGTGACTGTGTCTGGAAGTTCTGGTGTGATTCATCCTTTCACCACCACAAGCCACACAGAAATGTAATTTCCAAGCTTTCCCTGGTAGGTGAATTGAACTTGGCCTCATGCTGAAAAGGTAAACAAGGTCAAACTAACTGTACCACCCCAGGTCTCATAGCTTGAGGCCACCTTATTGACATTGTTGTTAGGAGCAGTGAAACACAAGAAAGTGGATCAGAGCCACCTGCTTTGAATCTTGGGGCCGACAAGTGGATTGAGGATGCTTAAGAAAGCCTTGGGCTTCCTTTCCAGTCTCTCCAATCTAGAGGGGTTTGCAGCTGCTCTGTGGTGTGGGAGGGATGGACAGGGCTCCTGCATCACCAAGTCAGGCCAGCTCCATCTGTTGACTACTGTGTTCACAAGCACTGGAGAATGTCTCTGTGCCTCTACCTACCCTTAGCTGGTATGGGCTGAGCATATGGAGCAAGGGAAACAGCTAAACCAGGAAACTCTGAAATGTGTCAGCATTTGCCCAACTACCTAACAATGTGAGAGCAGCTGTGCTCAGTTGTTCCAGGGCTGTTCAAAGAGATTACCACCAAGAGGAGTCACATTCTAAACAGTGAGGTCAAAGAGTCATGCCCACAGCTGACCTCAGGGCTCCTGGGATTCCCATGCCTCTCCCTAAGACTTGCTCAATCTTACTGCTATACTCAGCAGTTCTGTGCTTTGTGAGTAAAGTGTTCTGTTCTCCAGTGTCTTATTCTCCAGATAAGACCAAAGTACTAAAATTATTTCCAAATGCAGAGCTTTAGCTGTGATTGGGGAACCATGAATGCTGTCCAGGAAGTCTGAGTGATCTCCAAAGTCACATTGGTACAAGAGCTGTTGTGCAGCTATCAAAAGCCCACATACCACTACCATCCTTCTGCTGTCCTCAGGACCATACCTCTTCAAGATATCATTTCCAAATCCATCACATTGGAAGTTAAGGCTCCCAATGAATTTAGGGAGCACACAAACATTTCTTTTATAAAACACTATTATAAATATGGCCTAAGGCATGTTAGAGTACTCTTGAATATTTCCTTTGTTTTCTTCCAATAATAGTTCATTGCCCTTCCAAAAGACATAAGGTGATTTCCATGTTCCTGACCCTTCCCACTTCCACCACTGTGCAGACAGCAGGGGAAATCTTCTCTTTGCTGGTAGACCAACAAGCCAAATCACCTTTGTTGCCACAAAGCTGGAGAGATGATCTCTAGAGCAGACAGATCATCCAGTCTAGCCTAATTGTAAACTCCAAGTTCAGTGGTCGATACTGTCTTTAAAAGTAAGATGGAGACAACACACATAAAAACAAACCAACCAAACAAAAAGGCTATAGTTAGGTGAGATGTGCCTATATTCGTAGTCACACGGAAGGGTAGCAGCCACTGACCTCTGTAAGTGTAGCAAACTGGTTGCATGATAAGTTCAGCTCTAGAACATGCTCTTCATAAGGACAGCTCTTCATAAGGACACACACGGGTCTACCAAGTCAGTGATCTCAAAGTCAACCACACAGACATAAGACTTGCAGTAAAACATAGTGTTTATTAAGTAAAGATGTACCACATTTTGAACAGATATTAGTTTCTGACATTTAGATGCCCACTTAACTTAGGTTATACAGTGTCACAGGGCAACAGAAGAGAAGTACAAATGTATCAAGATTAAGGCCCTAGATTTGGGGACAGAGCATGATGGAACAAGCATTTTTGTCTGCATTGCAAACCTCTGTGGCATTTTTACTTTAGCAAAAAAATAAAAATAAAAATAAAAATAAAATAAAATAAAATTAGTGCCCTGAAATTATGCCCATTGAACTCAGCTTGGCACAGTGAAAACACGTATGTATATAGATATACATGAAGTAGTGTAAGGGAATGGAGGCCAGAGAATAGTTGTTATCACACACCATGTGACAGCTTGCTTCTGAAGCACAACTTCCAATAAACTGACTATGCTTAAGAAATAACTACAAAATTCAAAGTATGAGTAAAGAAAAATAACCCACCCTCTCCATCAAGGGACTCTGCACACTTTATATGTCCCTTTCCCACATAGAACATGGAGGTCTGTCTTCACCTCATCTTCCCCTCATGGGCGAGGGTTGGTGTCTCCTTCAGCCTGAAAATGCCCAGAATTTTCTTGACCAAGGAACAGAACGTGTGGACTGCCTTCTCTTTGGTCAGAAGAAGCACGCTGAAAATAAAAAGGGGGAATAGTGGTAAAGTGAAATATTTTGCTACAGTTTTTTGGCCCACTTTGTGGTGATAGGGAGATCCCTTTATTTCAAGCCAGTGAGTTGCTGACGAATGCCTTGGCAGTAGGGGTTTACAGGGTGCTAAGAGGAGAGAGAGAGAACTGGGAAAGCTATGATCCCCTTTCCTCCAGCTGCCTCTTGGCTTAATTGCAGTCCTGAGTACTCACAATTTCCTTTTAATCTGTGCATCCCTGCTCATCTGCAGCCAGGCCTAGCTAAAGTCTCACATTTAGCCTTATATTTAAGTCATCTACACATTTATACAGTTGAAGTAGAGGTGTCAGCTCCCACAAGGAAGTGGAGGAGGACAAGGACAAAGGCAGTGTTACAAAGATATCAGTTGAAGAATTCTTTTTTGACTCTAGTTTGAAGTGATATAGGACCAAGTAAGTGGAACCAAATGGGGTGAATGAGGAAAAAATGGAGGAGGATATGGGCTTCAAGCAGACAATGAAGAGCATGGCATGCAGGGCAGGAGTGAGCAGAAGTAAGGAACAGAGACAGAGTAATATAGCCTCAGGGTGAAGCCCTTGATGTTCTTACTCTACCTCTTTTCCAATTAGACACCTATCTGAAACCATATGTTCACTGGCTGGACTCTCACATCAACTTTGTGACAACTCTGACTCTTAGGGTCCCATTCAAGGATGTCATTGTCTTGGTAACAGGCAAAAAAAAGGGCTACTAGAAGCTGGAAACAGCCCAGATGCCCCTCAGTGGAGGAATGGATGCACAAATTGTGGTATATCTACACAATGGAATATTACTCAGCAATAAAAAACAAGGAAATCATGAAATTTGCAGGTAAATGGTGGGATCTAGAAAAGATCATCCTGAGTGAGCTATCCCAGAAGCAGAAAGACGCACACAGTACATACTCACTCATATAGACATATAATATAGGATAAATCTACCAAAATCTGTATACCTAAAGAAACTAATAAAGAGGGAGGACTCTTGCTAAAATGCTCAATTCCTATCCAGAAAGGCAAAGAGGATAGACTTCAGAAGAAGGAGAAAAGAGGGAACAAGTCTGGAGCCTGATACAGAGGACCTCTGAGCCCTGCAGACTATCAACGCAGATGCTGAGACTTATGGGCAACCTTTGGGCAGAGTGCAGGGAATCTTAGGAAAGAAATGGGAAACAGTAAGATCTGGAGAGGACAGGAACTCCACAAGGAGAGCAACAGAACCAAAAAATCTGAGCACAGGGGTCTTTCCTGAAACTGAAGCTCCAACCAAGGACTATGCATGGAGATAACCTAAGACCCCTGCACAGATGTAGCCCATGGCAGTTCAGTATCCAAGTGGGTTCCATTGTAATAGGAACAGGGACTGTCTCTGACATGAACTGATTGGCCTGCTCTTTAATTACCTCCCCCTCAGGGGGAAGCAGCATTACCAGGCCACAGAAGAGTATAACGCAGTCACTCCTGATGAGACCTAATTGAGTAGGATCAGAAGGAAGGAAAAGAAGTCCTCCCCTATGAGTGGACTTGGGGAGGGGCATGCATGCAGAGGGTGGCGGAAGGGAGGAATTGGGACGGGAGGAGGGAGGGAACCACGGGGGGGAATACAAAGTGAATAAAGTGTAATTAATAAAGAATTTAAAAAGTCAAAAAAGGGCTACTATTGGAGTCTACTTTGCTAATGAGCCCACCAGACCATTTGCCAATTTTGATCTTTGTATGAGATCATAGGGACCCAATTTCTGCTGACACTGATGGTTCAGTTAGTCATTTGCATATGAAAATATTATACATATAGCTATATGGAATTTCTAAACATTTAGAATGTCTAATCATTCTTTGGATTACTATTTTTTGTTTTGGATAGATGTGTGTTATAGGATGAAAATGTTTTTAATGTGTTGCTATTTTGTCAGATTGAATGTTTCTGCTCCTTATAGGGCTAGCTTGGACTTTACATGAAGACCTAAACCTGCTGTGTTATTGTTATTGTTATCTGGACCAGGTTTTATTCTTCAAGTGCAACTCCTAAAGATGGTCCCCAAGGTGTAGCTACCCTGCCTAACATAAGGCAACCCCACAGATAAACACTAAATAAATGTACTCAGTAAAGGGAAATTTAGGTTTGTTTGGTTTTTTTGGTTTGTTTGTTTGTTTGTTTTGGTTTGTTTGTTTGTTTTGTTTTTCCAATATGATGAGACATACCCAAGGTAGGTCCTAGACTGTATTGTAAAAAGGAATCTGTACTCAGTGATGAGCTTGGCATTAAAATGAGGTATGGTTCACTTTGATTAGGTAATCTATGCTGTAGAAGACTGAAAGTCAGATTGTATTTAAGAACCCTCTATGCAGCTCAGTTATACAAGGATCCCATTAGTTTTTACTAATGCAATAAAACACAATCATTTTACTTGGCAGTATGTTCTACCATCACATGTGTAACTTCCTTCAGATTGATAATGCTTTCAAGTCTGCATATTCTTGAGGTATTTACTTTATGAGGAAGAGGCCCAGAATCCCTCCAGATCCAAAATGCTTTCGGACATCTCAACCCTATCATACTCATTCTGTCTTAGGCTGTAAAACCAAGAGTTGACCTTTACTCAATGATTATGCTCTGTAACGTGGACCCCAGGCCAGATATTTTTTAGTCAATACTTACAGATGATTGAGAAGCACCTACATGTGCCCTTGCAGATTGGTTCTGTGACCTTGCTGTTGGGTCATGTGATGCTGCAGATTGGTGTTGTGCTGTTGTCAATGGGTGATTTGACTCTGTTGAGGTGTGACATAGCACTCTCATTGTTTGGCATGATCTTGTTGAAGGAACACACAGAACTGAGGGAGTACGATTAAAAGGATCCTCCTGAAATCTGCAAGAAATTTGGAGCAGTGACATAGGTCAAAGAATGGTGGCTCATAAGGAATTCGCCATGCTACATATAAAGGCTGATCCAGGTTTATATGTTATTGGCTGTTCATAGCATATAACAACCATATTACATCTACTTCCTTGGTTTTCATGGCCAATGCCTTCTTTCCAGAGAAGCTGAAGAATAGACATGAAAGTTTGGACTTGAACAATAAAGCCAAATGATTTCAAGGTTTATATGTGAAATCTCTAAAACTGAGGCTGTCTTATCTAGGCTTTCTATATGGAAGAGCCTCCATTTTATCAATAGATACTGAGATAAGCACTATACAGGCAGGAACAAGGCAAAAGCAGTGGCCTCTACCCTTCTCCTCAGTTGACTTATTTCTTACCGATCTGTCTCATTTTGTGGATACTCAGAATTGTCATTTCCAAACAAATTAATGTGGTGTGGCCCCACATCATCAATGACAGTCACAACCTGCACAAAATCAAGAGGATTATTGTATTTTTAAAAAGGTACAGGTGTACCATATATCCCCTTATTGACATCTTAGGCTCTGGCTTCTTCTGTACCTGATCTCGTGGTCGGTATATCGGATAATCTTGCCCTTGCCCAGTTTGTTGTGGCTCAGGCAGTAAGTTTCGAAACATCTCAATACGCTGAGACAACTCATATACACGTTGTTCTCGTTCCCTTTCCTGAAGGTATTGAAACATCAAAAATAAACATAAAAGCAACTTGATGTCTGAAAAAGCACCCCCAGGAAATAAACTTTACATTCAAAAGAATCTCAAAATAATGAACATCTGGTCTCTGTGCATACTGGGCCATGGGGACTACTGACTGCTTTGATAGCACACTAGTCACAGACATGCCCCTCCCTGGGTTACAGACTTCTGAACATCCAAAACATCTACACAAGAATGTATATATCAGTGAGCCTGTATTCAGGTCTACATAGCATAGATATTTTTAATTGTCTGGAAAAACTCAACTGCAGCCTATGAGGTAGGCTGAGCCAAATAGTCCAAGCCAATTAAACTTCTTATATAAATTATATCTCCTCCCAGTTATAAAATTAAAATTGACTTTCCATACCTCTTGTTGAATATCTTCATAAGAAGATGATTCATCATGGAAGGTTCTGCTAATATTCAGATCATAGACCTGTGTCCTCACTCGTGGGCCACTGAGTTGAGCAAATCTCTCCCCCAAAAGTGGACGTTGGAATTGAAATGATCTCCTTGGCTGCATTTGTAAGGACAAAAAATTACAAAAGTGTTGCTGTTAGTCTATGCCTTTCCTTAATGCACAAGACAGTGAACATTGAGAAGGATTGCTCACTCAAGCCCACAGGAACCCTTAGATACATTCTATACTGGCCCCTGATTAGACATGGTTGGGATCTCCTCAGCTTCTGTATATAGCCAGATTAAAGACTGGTTACTGAGATGGTCTAGGCAGTTCTGATGAGACCTGATAAGCTAGGGTCAGATAGTAGGGGAGGAGGACTCCCCCTTTTGGTGGACTAGAAGAGGAAGATTGGCGGGGGGAACAAGGAGGTAGTGTGGGACTGGGGGGAGATGAGGGAGGAAGCTACAATTGGGATATAAAGTGAATAAACTTTATAAAATAATTTTAAAAAAGAATTTAAGACCGTATCTACACTGAGAGTTTAATGTATTCACGTAAATTTCCTTCTAAATAGTTCAAGAAATTTTACGGTACTCCAAAAATCCGTGCAAGGCAAGAAGGACTTTTCAAAAACACATTCTTGTATATTTAACAGGATAAAAACAACAAGGGTATGATTTGCCTTAGAGAACATCCAACTTCCCTGTTCCTAAGGGTTCAATAGGTTTTCACTGTATCTGAAAAGCTAGCACATTAGAAACAGTGGTGTATGTTTTTGAAAAATGAAGATCATGCTTTCTGTAAAGTAAAACTGAGCAAACAGAATGAATTTATGCTTGACATTGTTAGAGGTCCAAAAAAAATGCATTTTGAAAGATTTTCAGATGTACCTCAGCTACATCACTGACCTGCAAATCTGCACGTACCACGGGTTCCACCAACGCCTCTAGGCGCACACATGGTGCTGTTGTGCTTGGAAATTTCAAGGATGTCTCTGGTGCCTTTTCTTGTTCTTGTTCCACAACCAGTTCTTTGACCTCAGGTTCTTTCTGGTCTTCAATAATTTCTATTACTTCACAGTAATCGTTATCTGAAGGAGCATTAAGAGGCACAGAACATTCATCAATAACATGTTCTTTAAGATTGGAGGCCTTTGCCTCTTCCAAGAGTTTCTTCATATCCACATCACTGCATTTTCCTTGTTCTGAAGAACCCTGTTCATCCTGGCTATCACTTAAGAGGAATTCTGGATCTACTTCAAATTCGATGTCCACGGGCTCTTGCATGTACTTTAACTCTGTCATAGACCCCTGTCCAAATGTAGGGCCTGAGAAAGGAAGCACAGAGGAGATCATGACTAAAACAGTAAAATGTGCCAGCGTTATGTAACAGGAAAGTATGGTTTAATTTCATGTTTAAGAATGAGATATGCCAGGTACCAGGACTCATTTAGAGAACAGTATTTTAAAAGTCCATTCATATTTGAAAATAAAGTACAAGTAACTTATGTCTGAGTTTCTCTCTGTCCACCTTCTAGTTTATACTGGTGTTTAAATCCAGCACAGTTAATAGTAACCTTTCATGGCAACATCCTTTGGGCTTTACTTCATATTTGGTGTCCTCCAAATACTAAAGCTGAAATAAATTACAAATGAATCTGTAAGATGTTGTAATAAATTTTTGCCTTAATAGTTGAGTAAAGAAACATGGAAGACAATTAATAGTGAAAAATTATGACTATCATTTTGAAAATCCCTTTGACATACTTCCTATATGACCGTAGCAGTCTCACATCCAGGAATTTGCCCAAGCAAACTCAATATTCCATGCAAAACTCTGTGAAAATATTTGTAGTAACATTATTCATAATCATCAAAATCTTGAAAGCAACGCAGATGTCCTTCTAAAGATGGAGGGATTAAAGTTCTGTAGTACATTCATAAAGTTCAATAAACAAGTGTATCATTGTTTTTCATGATATGGAAAGTTGTTAACTGTACAGTTCTAAGTAAAAAAAGACAGATGGAAAAGTCCTCACATTGGAAACAGGCATGAAACCCAATGGTGTTTTGATTATGTAATGTGTATGACATTAAGGGAATCACAATAAAATGGTTAGAAATTTTTGCTTTTGTCCATTTTCTGCTGTACTGTTTGTTCAATTCAGATTACTCTGTTGTTGTTAGTGATGTTTTCTTGTTTGTTTGTTTGTTTGTTCATTTGTTTTTTTGTTTGTTTGACAGCGTCTCCTGAATCCCAGGATGGCCTTAAACTTACTGTGTAGCTAAGAATGGCCATGAATTCCTGATCCTTCTTCCTTTACCTCCTGAGTACTGCACTGACACTTTTCTCTAAGACCAAATGTATTTCAAAATGAAAAAAAAAAAAACTATAAAATATAAACATCAGGATCAGGCAGAACGACCCACTAGATACCTCACAATTGTTCCATCCAGCTCCAGCAGCTTCACCTCACTACAGTGCAATGGACACAAGCAGACTGCTATTCAACCAATTAAGTTAGTTTTAGGTTTTCCATTTTAGTCATTTTGGAAAATTTTAGTTTCTTGATCGTTTCAGTGCTAAGAACTTTTACTAAATTCTTCTACTATCAATCACTTCCAAATCATTTTGCATCTTAATAGTATATTTGCAGTTTTCTGGTTCCAAACGAAAAAAAATAAAAAAAATAGCAGTAAGTCATAGTAAGGGTCCCAGATGCTGCTCAATTTCAACGTTTGGTGCTGGATATGTGGCTGTGTTCCTCTGACTGGAAAGAACAGCTGTGGGAGATTATAAGGATTTCTCCATGGTTGGTTTAACAGTAATGAATATAATTCTACAGAACAAGCCTACAAGGTTAAAAGTAATCACTGCTCATATAAATATTAGAAACAGTCATATGCACATCCTTGTGCTGTTTTCAAAGATAGTTTATAACAGAGCTCTGAAACTTACAGAAGCAATAGAAGTGATGCTACTAAAAACTATTTAAAAGTTAAAACTACATTTGAAATGGAGGGGAAAAAATAAAAAATTAACCACAATACATGAAATTTTAAAAATATAAATTATCTACAATAAGATCCATGAAATAAAGGATACCTGCCTCCTTTTCCAGTGTTGCAGTGTTTAAAGAATTGTATAATTAGGACTTTGTTATTGAAATGCATAAAAGGAACAGCAGTATTTTTGAGGGATTGATCCACTTCACCACTACTTCCATTAAATTTTACTGGCAATGCACATGCTTATAATTCTGTCATTACAGCACTCAGGAGTGGAGGCTGCACATTTCTAACTGATATTTCTAAAGTGTGTAAGGTCAGTGATCATTTAAATCTGTGAGATGATATTTATCTCTATTGCTCTGAAATCACCATCTCAAAATTTTACAGAAAATGAGCAAAGCTGGGCTTGCCAAATGTGATTTCACAGCACCAAAAACAGAAAACTGTCTTTATTTTAAACCTTGCAGCCACCTTGAAGTTCATCCCACTTATTTAGTCTACCTCTGAATAGCCAGTTGTACCTACCTGTTTCTCTGATTTCTGTGGAAGAAATGCTTGTGCTTGTGCTTGCATCTTCACTTATACATGTGCTGATGCTAGATTCAGAGGATGTCCTGATCTGAATTACTTCAAAGGGCTTTTTCCAATTGGCTGGTCGAAAACCAACAATTTCAACCTGAGTTTCCAAAAGAAGATAACACAGTTCACCAAAAAGATAGAATAAGACAGAAATAATAGGAAACACAGGTAGAATCCCAAACTTTAAACAATTCATAACATATTCAATCATTTGAAAAGCCAAAACAAACCCATATATATATTGAGGCTTAGTATTGAGGGTACTAAGCTTCAGAAACAGTTGGGCAGTAGCCACTGATGGAAAACAAAAAGTTAGTGCATGCATGTAGAAACATTCTGGCTACCAGGATCCCAAACCTTCCAACCACACATTTGGGAAATTCTTTCATAATAGTAGTTTTTTTTTTCCCCAGTGGATTCTTCACTTGTGAATTTGATTTTAAAAGTTTATTTATTGATTGATTTACTTACTTGTTCGTTCATTCATTCATTCATTCATTCATTCATTCATTCATTCATATTAGGGATGCCTGCAAGCCACTGAGTCTGTATGGAGGTCAGAGGTCAACTTAGAGGACAACTTCCACCATGTGGGTTCCAGGGACTGAACTCAGGTTATTAGGCTTCACAGCAAGCACCCTTACTCACTGAGCCATCTCATTGGCCCATGTACATCTAATATTTATGAGTTCCTATATGTTTGCCAAACCTTGCTTACAATAATATACATACTAATTACTAAGACAGCCAAGAATACTTCCTACTCTTGCAGGCATTTCATGCAGTACAGATGATATATGTTAGTAAGAGTCATCTAAACATTAATATACGTCTATGAGGTAACCAGCAGAGATCATTATTTCCATGTTACAGAAGAGGCTTCATCAATCAAGATAGCCTTCTACAGACCCCTCACTGACAAATAGTGTAATCAAGATGAAGTTCATCTCTTCTGAGGTCTCAGTCATAATTTCTCTCAGTGGCTTTCCTACCTTCTTCTGTGGTGGGTGCATAATAATATCTAGGCTACATGTAATATGTTAGGATTGTATTAAAGGGTCACAGCATTAGGAGGGTTGAGAACAGGGTGAGGGTTACAGGTATAAGAAGTTACTCCAAGATTTTTATATGGGTGTTAAATTTGGGTTCTCATGCTCTCATACCCACAGTGCATCTCTCTATGCCTTGATAATTTTTTTGTGGAACTCACTATGTAGCATAAGCTGGCCTGAAATTTGTAGTCACCCCCTACCTCAGTGTCCCAAGTGCTAGCATTACAGGCATTAGCCAATATGCCAAACTATCAAACTTTCTTTATAAAACAGACACATTCAATGATGTCTGGAAAGGAACTTAGCTTGAAGTTACTATAAGGACTATTCTAAACATGGCCACTACTTAGAGTAAGCAAAAAGTAAACTGTCAGACAGTACTATGCTCATGAGACAGTTATTAAATTAAAGACTTTTTATGTTGACAACACACATTAAATAACTAATAACATTACAGGCATAAAGGTTCATGGTTCTACTCAATGGCTGTCAGTGTACATACTTCAGGGGATGAATCAGGACATGCCACATTTGAAGCTTCAGCCTGGCAGTTACTTTGCATTACATTCTTCTGGCAATCTTTTAGAGTCCTAATAAAGGTAGAAAGAAATCATTATTAAAATGTGTTTTGTGTACTAGCCAGGAAGTTAAATAGCTCTGTTAAATAGCTTTCATAGTACCAGAAGGGGTCATATAGTTTGATCGAAGGGGGAAATGTCATCAACAGTCTTACCAGCTGTGAACCTTGTGATCAACAATAATGACTGGCATGACAAATATGCCGATGATTGCCAGAGTGGCATTAATGTTATGGGGGCAACCAACCAATTCCTGTATGTATTGAAGGCCATATCATAGGAGTAAACACATTTTGTACTATAAATCTGACCAAAAACACAAGGCTGGGGGAGCTTACCTGCCCCGAGTGTAAGTCCACTTGCCATTACATTGCTAAATGGATACAGTATCAAACTGCTCTTTAAATTCATATATTTATGCTCATGGATTACTGCAGCTCTCAGACATCACAGAGAAGTTTCTTAGCGCAGTATTCAGTAGCTAAAATTGAAACTACTAAAATTGCAGAGAATAAATGTATACATGGTATACCTATAAGACCCCCTTCCACACAAGGCTTAGGTATTATTCCAGACAGTAGGGCAGGAAAACTGTAAAAGCCAGAGGTCAGGGTATCATGTGGACCATGACAAGAACACTGCATTCATGAACTCATGAAAGTGGTGTGCCCTGCATGAGACCTACACAAGATCAAGCCAGTCAACATTCTAGCACGGAGTTCATAAGCCTCCACCCTTAACTGGGGAGCTGTTGACTGCGGCTTCTGGGCAAAAGAGCATCAATTTTATTTAAAGGTATGACCACAGGTAGGCTGGTCAAATTCTAGTGGCTCCATACCCATGATTATGTAGTAAGCACAAATTAGACTCAGGAGATTATATATAAAAAAATAGACATGAAACTGGGAGGGAGAGAAGATGGAATGTGAGGTAACAGATTTAGGAGGAGTTAGAAAGAGAAGTTGGGGAAATTATGAGTGTACTCTGAGGAGATAAAATAGAAAAACCACCAGTTAATGAGTTATTGCACCATTTGCATACTTGATTTGGACATGAAATGCTTACTATTTACTCTTACTGGTTTGATTTTCAGTGTGAAATAATTGAAACATGAAGCCACACATTATTTAAAATATTTAATAGTTAAAGAAAATTCTAAGATAACAAGTATGTATGTATGTATAGTATCTATGTATGTATGTATGTACATATGTATATATGTACATAGGTTGGTTTCCAATTGAAGGCAGGATGTCATGCATCCCAGGCTAGCCTTATACTCAGTATGTTGTCAAGGAAAATCTTAAAATTTTTGACTAGGGACTGGAGGGATGACCTGAGTGTGCAAGAAACCACTGAATTAAAATCTAGTGACTGGATCTAAAACCGAGGCGGGGCAAGATGGCGGCGCCGGGAGGACTCTCATTCTGAGCAGCAGCAGCAGGATCAGCACAGTGACCAGCAATCAGAACTCGCGGCTATAAAACACAGTCATTGTGTTTCCTAGGCTAGAGGATACCCCACGGTGGGGGATTCAATCAGCTTTTAACTCACCCAGCTAAACCGTGGAAGAGATCCTGGTCCCGCCAGACACTTGGCTGGCGGTCAACCAGCCCCAGCCCCAGCCCCAGCCCAGAGCCACTAGGCAGTGTCTCTGGTCACAGTCTCAGACTGAACCTTGCGCACCACACTATCAGAGACTGGAATTTTCAGTCGAGAGATAACCCCACGGTACAGGAAAAGATTGGGACCGGCTTAAGGTCACCCAGACATCCCCTGGAAAAGATTCGGTTTCCACGGGCGCCCAGGAGCCAGCCCAGAGCCAGAGCCAGGGACCCAGGCTCCAGCACAGAGCCCTGTCTGCCTGCACGCCTGATTCACCACCTGAGATAGAACTGTGGGCACCAGGGCACCAGAGAATGAGTTTCACTGTCCGTAGCAAACACACAGGGAGGGAAACGGCTGGTCTGATCACACAGCACTCAGCCAACACCCCCACCCCGAAAAGGTCTCGGGAAAATTACCCAGTTTAGGCAGACACCCAGGCTCCCAAAGGCCGGAATGGCAGACACAAGCAGTTTCTGCAGGACAGACAGCTGGCAGAGACTGAGCAGTGCACACCAGGGCAAAAAAAGAGATTGGGAGTCCCAGTTTCCAGAGAATCCACAGGGAAGGAAGGAAACTGTACTGACTTAAATCACCCAATTCTTCCCTGGAAAAAGCTGGCAGACCGGCGGGGCCAAGCCTCCATCACTCAGCTGTGCACCAGACACAGGCACAAACAGTTGCTGTGCTCCAGATGTCCAACTAGGTCACAGCAGCTGATCATTAAATTTACAGCAAGAAACCCAGAAACAGGGCAGCTGTCCTCAAGACTTCCCTGGGTGAGAGGAGAACCCTCTCGACTAACAAAGACCACAGTTAACACTCAGGTCTCTATCCCTGAGGTGAGCAGCAGCAACTCCTGAAAAAACGCCAGCCATCCAGGGACTATACCCAAAAAGATGAGAAGACTTCCTTCAGGAAAAATCAGCTTTCTGCCAAGGAAATTCTCTCCACCACAGGATCCCCAGGAACCACAATAAAATAACTCCAAACACCTAAGATAGCAAAATGGGTAGAGGCCAGCGTAAAATCTCAAGCAACAAAAGAAAGAGCAATATGGCATCTACAACACCAGTTACCCAGGAGCAAGTAGCCCTGGACATCCCAGCATAACTGAAATCCAAGAAGATGACATAACAACTATGCTCATGAAGATGATAACAGAGGAAACAAATAAGATACGTAAAGACATAGAGGAAAATTAACTCAAACAGAATATTGCCATCCGTAAAGAAATAAAGGAAGCTGCAGCCAAACAGTTTATGGCCTTTAGAGAGGAAATGCTTAAAGCACTGAATGAAATAAAAGAAACAGAGTTGAAGGAACTAAAAGAAAAACAGGAAAGTACAATCAGACAGGTGAAGGAAGTAAACAAAACAACTCAAGACCTGAAGATAAAATTGGAAAAATTAAAGAAAACACAAATGGAGGAAATAATGGAGAGAAAGAATCTAGGGAAGAAAACAGGAACTACAGAGGTAAGCATAACCAACAGACTACAAGAGATGGAAGAAAGAATCTCAGGTGTAGAAGATACAATGGAAGAAATTGATGTGTCTGTCAAAGAAAATGTTAAATCCAAAAAATTCCTGACACAGACCGTACAAGAAATCCAAGACAATATGAAAAGCCAAAACCTAAGAATAATAGGTATAGAGGAAAAAGAAGATTCCCTTCTCCAAGGCCCAGAAAATATTTTTAAAAAAATCATTGAAGAAAATTTCCCCAAGTTAAAGGAGAAGCCAATAAGAATACATGAGGCCTACAGAACACCCAACAAATTTGACCAGAAAAGAAAATCCTCCCACCACATAATAATCAAAACAGTAAGTATACAGAACAAAGAAAAAATACTAAAAGCT